AGGAGGACTCTGTTCTGGAGAATTTGAGTGTGGAAAGAAATTTAGCATGCAGTATTTCCCTCATCTGCAGTGAACTCTCCTGCCCCTGTCCAGGAGGACATCTTTCATCTTCTGAAATTACTAAGTAGGGCAATATATCTAGAGGCTTTATGCTATGCCATCTGTCTTCGTTTCTTTTCTGGTTCCTCTGATCCAATACTCTAACAAAAGCAACTTAAGGAAGAAGATTTATTCAGGCTTACAATTCCTGGTCACAGTCCACCATGGCAGGGAATTCACAGTAGCAGGAGGGAGAGGGAGCTGATCACATTACGTTTGCTTTGTTATAGCCCCCATGAAGCAAGGAACAAAATTTTAAGTGGATGCCTTGAAAACAGGACAGATTTGAGTAGCCCTAATCCAAAATGCTTGGGATCTGAATGATTCAGAATTTGGAGTTTTCAGATTTTGGAATATGTGCTTATAGATAATGAGATATTTTGGAGATGAGGCCCAAGTCTAAACATGAATTTAGTTTGTCTTTCATAAAAATTCTTTCATGCTTCAGGTCTTAAGATTTCATATAAACCTTATATGCACAGCCAGAAGATAATTTTTTGCAGCATTTTTAATGCACCTGTGTTTTGACTGTGACTTGTCAACCTGATGTCAGCTGTGGAATTTTCCACCTGTAGCATCACGTTGACACTCAAAATGTTTATATTTTGAAACATTACAGATTTTTAGATTTCAGGGCTAAGAATATTCAACCTGGACTAGGGAAATAGCTCATTGGGTTAAGTGCTTACTGTATAAGCATGATGACCTGAGTTCACATCCTCAGAGCCCGCATGAGCTTGGAGCATTGGCACAGGTCTGCAATCCCAGTGCTTCTATGGTGAGATGGGAGAAAGAGGCAGGAGAATCCCTGGAAGCTCACAGCCAGCCAGCCTGGCATACTCAACCACGAACACCAAAAACCGAAAAGGTGTCCTGTCTCAAACAAGGTAGAAGCTAAAGAGCAACACACACACACACACACACACACACACACACACACACACGCATGCACGCGCACACACACACACGCATGCACGCGCGCACACACGCACGCACATGCATGCACACAAAGTTAGGACTCACAAACGGGAGAAAACATAATAAAATAATGTAATACACACACACGCACACACACACACGCACACACACACACACACACACACACACACACCTCTATAGGAAATCTTTTTAGCTGAGTTCAGCTTTACTAACCTGACTCCCCCTAAAGCGCGCCCCACTCTGAGACCTGCCACCAGCTGCCCCAGCATAATCTGCCGTTGCCTAGACACTATGTGGTGTACACATGTGCTTTTGCTTCTATGAGTTGACTTGGTGCTTTCTTTTTTTAATTTTTTATTTTATGTGTATGAGTGTATTGTCTGCATGTAGGCAAGTGCACTCATGTCGTGCAATGCCCGCGGAGGACAGAAGAGGCTATCAGATCCCCTGGAACTGGAGTTACAGACAGTTGTGAGCAGTCATGTGGGTGCTGGGATTCAAACCTAGGTCTTCTGCAAGAACAGTCGGTGTTCTTAACCACTGAGCCATCTCTCTAGTCCCAACTTGGTGCTTTCTAAGTCATGCTTATTCCTTAACATGTTTATTGCTATTGTAAGTCTCAGAGTAATCATTAAATATTTCCCAAATCTCTGAGATAATCCAATGTAAGTTATATTGTTAGGAAAACCAGGTATGATGGTCTGAAAAGAAGCAGAATTGCTAGACAAATTTGCCTTTGAATTTAGAGAGTGGGTGTAAGAGAGCTATCAGCTAGGATGGAGAGAGGGGTTAACATTCTCAGCTCCGTGCTAGAGAGGCAAAGAGCTGCATTTCGCCTCATGGATGAGGTTTCTGCAACAACAAAAAGTGCAGAACTGCAACCAGCAGATTTCCAGGCAAAGAAGGTTCTTTGCCCAACCACGTTTGTGCATTTATATGTTGAGTGAAATATATAAATGCTTGTTTTTTTGTGTGTGTGAATCCCCACTTAAATCCAACATCTTTGTTTGGAAGTCAGCTGCCCTTCCAAAGTCAGTAGGTATGATGGTTGCTACCATTTCTTGAATCTTCTTCCAGGTCTAGAGTCCACATTTCAGCTTGGAAGTGGTAGCAGATGCCCCTACTAGTGGCCAGTATCATGTAGGTTGGAGGATGCCTCTTTGTATCACCATCTCTTCATATTTTCTTTAAATGAATATTTTTTCTTGCTCAGGGTATTTCTACTTCCTTTTTAACTTATATATTTTTATTTTATGTGTAAGCATGTTTTGCCTATATGTATGTAAGTACACCCATGTTACACAGTGCCTATGGAGGCCAAAAAGGGCATCAGATCTCCTGGAACTAGAATTAAGGATGGTTGTTAGCTCTTTTGTGGGTGCTAGGAACCAAACCCTGGTCCTCTGCGTGAGCAGCCAGTGCTCTTAACCACTGAGCCATCTCTCCAACCCCTATTCCTTTCTTCTAACATTTCAATTAGTCAGCTCCAGGAAGTTGAGTAAAAAGCCTCACCTAATTTTAAATTTTAATTTAATTTTCTTGTTGCATTGACGAAACACCTGGCATAGAGAGTTTAAGGAAGGAAGGGTTTATTCGGGCTCTCGGTTTTGGGGGATGCAGGGTATGGTGGCAGCAGACATGGCGGTGGGAGCCTGAGGTTGCTGGTAACATAGCCTCAGCCAGGAAGCAAAGAAAAAGGAATGATGTATCATAGGACTTTCTCCTTTCCCCCATTTTTATTCATCCTGGAACCCCAGCTTGTCCACATTTGGGATATGCCTTCCCTCCTCAGTTAAACCTCTCCAGAAACATCCTCAGGGACATCCCCAGAGGTGTGTCTTCTAGGTGAATCTAAGCTCAGTCAAGTTGACAATGAAGTCTGACCACCATCACAGTATTAAAATGTTCAGTCAAGCCGAGAAAGAAGTGGTTGGTTATAATTACCATGAAGAAAGAAAGCAAAGTTTAGTGAAGCTCTTTTCCGATGCTTCTTTAAATCACTAATTTTAGCTCACTATGCAGGTTCAGTTCATGAAAAAGTCACCCCCCCACCCCTCCCCCCTCCAAGCTCCATGGCGTCCATGGCGTGACTTTATAATGCATTTACACTGGGAGCTCATTAAAGAGAACTTGATAAATGTTTTCAAATGCTTCTCTCCATTCATGTCCATTTCCTATTTGCTTTCTAGAGCATTTCTGGTGAGCATTCTTTTCTGCAATTTGCTAAATGTCAACTGTAGACCCTGTTTAAGACCTTGGTTGGGAGCCAGGGGGTTTGCCAATTTATATTAACCTGTTAAGAAAAATTGAATAAAATGTGAAAATGAAATGAAAATTGCTTTGAAGAAAAATGGAGGCTAACAGTGAAATAGCCCATTAGTGGCCTGAAGCTCATTCTCCTGTTGAGTTCAGAGATGTGTCACTTTGTACTGTTGCCAGACTCTGAAAGCAAATCCAAAAGGAAAAATTAAAAACATTTTTTCATATAGCAGCCATTTATGTATTCCCTCTTCTATATCAGGCACTAATTGCACCAAGAGGAGGAGACTGAGTCACTCCGTAAGCGACAGGTTCCTGCAGTGATTCTCCACCTTAAACAAGCCAGAGCTGCTGTGACTCATTCCCTTGCTCTGGGCACTGGAGCCTCTTGAAGACACATGTTTGTGTAGAGTATCCGCTGCTAGGGTTCTTTCCTATTAAAATAATCAGGAATATGAATGATGATATACCAAGACCTTTAGCGGTCTTCATTTTTAAATAGAATAGCAAATGATTTGCAAGGTAATTTGAGCAGCTATTTATCAGACATCTATAAGATTCAGCTCTGAGCTGGGCATGGTGGCACATACATACAGTCCTTGCATTGAAGAGATGGAAGCAGAAAGATCAAGAGTTCAAAGCCAAAGCCTCAGCTGCATAGCTAATTCAAAGTCAGCCTGGGATGAGACTGCCTCAGAAAAGAAAAGAATTTAGCTATGAGATCTTTTTTAATCCTCTAGCATTTTGTGTGTTGGTTGCTTCTTACTATTTAGTTGTGTATGTGTGCTGAGATTTTGCTATGTACTCCAGGCTGACCTGGAACTTATGATCCTTCTTTCTGCATCAGTCTCTCAAGTTCTGGGATTGCACATGTGCATCACCACACCCGGCTCTAATTACTGTCTTAACAGTTGGCTGGACCATTTGTTTAGTCTCCTGTCTTTCTATTTCCAATGCAGTATGGGCAATAGATTAAGTTAATCGCACCGCCGACACACTCTGTCTTAGACAACTTCTATCTTTGTCTTGGCATTCATTTCCTAAATGACTTTTTAAGGTATATGAAAAGTTGCTTCAAATCTAATAGGAAATATGATTATAGGGTAGATGCTGATGTCTTCTATTCCTGATCCCTGGTTGCAAATTTCTGCATGAGCGTTTGTCTGTGACTCTGAAAGAAATGAAGCATATAACCTTTATTCTAATACTTACTGTTTACTTTGATTGAGTCACAGTGGTGACTAAGAACAGATTGAAAGGCTTGCCAAGACCCTATAGTTAATTTCAGTAGTTTAAGCATATGGTACATTACATAAGACCAGCTTTCAGAAGCTCAGAGATTCTATTTTCAAGGCATTGATTAGGACCTAGTTGATATTTGGACTGCATATTACACAACAGCCTTTTATGACCTCTTGCCAATAAAATTCTGATGTCACTTTCTAATATTTCACAAAGCATTTTGTCTCCTGTCACAGATTTGCTTCTAGGACTTTTGTTTTATGGTTTTATTTTTGTTTTAAATCTCCCTTAAAGTGACAACCAGGTTAACAGAGAACTAACCATTTTCAATCCTTTTTTAATAATTCTTCAGGAAGCACTCATTTGGATGTCTTGCTTCATTTATTGGTCAAAGTGAATGTATTTCAGAATTTCTTTTTTAGGAAACAAAGGTAATTGATTGATCATTTGTTCTTTTAAAGGGTTTCTCCTCTTCAAAAGTCAGAAGTTGTTGAGATGGTTAAGAAACAAGTCAAAGTCATCACACTGGCAATTGGGGATGGAGCAAATGATGTCAGCATGATTCAGACAGCCCATGTGGGTGTTGGGATAAGTGGCAATGAAGGCTTGCAGGCAGCAAATTCTTCAGACTACTCCATCGCTCAGGTAAAGCCCTGTTGCTGGAAAACACACCATCATTCCTTTCCATCAGCTGACGCTGTGAAAGAGGAAAATACTAATGTCTTTCCATTCTTTTCTTAGTTCAAATATTTGAAGAACTTACTGATGGTCCATGGTGCCTGGAACTATAACAGAGTCTCCAAGTGCATTCTGTACTGCTTCTACAAGAACATCGTGCTCTATATCATTGAGGTAACAATGGCTTAAACGAACAGCCCTTCCCCTTGTATACGTTCTTCAAAACTCATATGAAATATGAAGATATTTTCTCATTGTTTTCATGAGCCCTTCATCTGCTCACTTACTTTTTATAACTTGTAAACATGTTCAAGCAAAAAGATTGTCAGCCATGGAGAATAATGTTTAGACTCTAACTAAAAATCTTAGGTCATTTTGGTAGAAATCTTGAATTAAAATTGCCAATGAGGTAATGTTTCCAGCTTTTTGAAATAATTTTTTGAGAATTTCATACAGGCATATAAGCATATAAGGTGTTTTGATCAAATCCATGCCCACTCCCTCCCCTCCAACTCTTCCCATATCTCCCCATCACTTTTTTCTGATAACTTCATGTACTCTTTCTTCTTCATTGATTTATTTTTTTTATGGGGCAGAGGTAACCCTAAAATCGTTTAAGGATTAGATAGGCTCCCAAATCCCAAATACATTTTTGGCCTTTGGAATGGAGTATGTTGCTAAGAGGCCCAAGGACATTTTGACATAGCCAAGAAATTGGCTACTTTTCTCTGGAGTCTTTTTACACTAACTGCCTAGCCAGTTCCTACCTCCTATTCTTATCACACCATCCTCTGAAGAGGTTACCCAACTTGTGGATAAGAAATCGGGACACAGACTGCTCTGGGTTCTTCCATGCTGAACGGGGATGCAGGGTGAGGCAATTGGGGTACCCCTTCACTGTATCTAAAAGACTACCAAATTGCTTAACTCTTATCTGTAGGGGGAAAAGAAAGTCCTTGACTGGTTAGTAGGAGATGAGAAGGAGAAGTAAAGGCAAGAGTAATTAACATCACAAGTTCTAGACAGGGAATTAGAAAAAAAGTCAGAACAGGGCAAATTTCAAATGTTCATATGAGAATCCATTGGAATTTCTTGACAAATGCTTCCAAAAGCATTCCTCTATTGGGTTCCTTTCATTTTTCTTTTGTCTGCCAAGGCTAAACTCAAGAGTGATGGATTCAGAATTTGCTTTTGGGTATTTTGATAGCTGTTGGTTAGAATCAGTGTCAGTTCCCTCTCAAAGGCTTCTAGATAGGGGAGAAAACAAATTTATCCATCATTTTAGAACAATAGGGGATTGTATCCCTTAGCTACAGGTGGGCAATACAGTATTGCAGACCAAGATTTGAAGTTTTACATCTGAGCAGCACTTTCTGCTTAGAAACAAAATTATCAATGTGAGGTAATTGTCTAAATAATAT